TTACAAAATTTTTTATAGACTTGAAAATAGAATAGGTCCTTCATTTTACATTATAGAAAATGGAGTTTTTAAAACTGTCAAACAATATTGTCAATCAATCTAGATTACATGTTCCTAAAGCCTATAACTTATAGCATTAAGATATCAGACACAAACTTAAGAAAGATGATTTAGACAAGTGATCATCAAATACCATCTTTATAATAATCTTTGAAAATCATCTTCGTAATACGATAACTAAATCATAAATTGACCAAGATTGATGTCGCTCAAACTCATAGTTTATGACATAAAAATTCTAGACCAAAGCTAGACCTAGATAATTTAAATTAATGTTCAGCGAATCCAATGCTGAAGGTGGTCTTTGAAAATATGATAACCTAATAATACATTTATTTGGAGTACATGTTGCGTATCGACTGATGAGCGGTCGATATGGTGTGGTTTTTCTTTTCATTTGACTTATAATTTGTTTTGTCACCTATTCGGCTGAAACGCTCGCTTTCCCAAAGAATTTTAAACAGATAAGTCGATGAAGAAAAAATATAACGCGTACATATATAAGGCGACGAATTTTTTGTATTAGTTACTGTTTTTATTATATGTTCGTTTTGCTTATTTACAAATAGCTTACTTATTTATGATTTATTTTACCCGCTCACGGACTTCATTTAATAAAATTATATTTTCTTGTTTGTTGGACGGGCTGGCATTTTCGATGAATAACAGACACTCTCTCTTACCTCAAAATTACTTTTTATTTCTGTTTCAAAACTGCGGAGACAAACACTCTCTGGCGCGCAAGGATGAACAAAGAATGAGCTACGTAGAACTAGCTTGTTGACGTATGCGCTCTCATGAATTACATATATATATACGTGCATATGAAAGGCATTTTAACATTGTTTAATAAATTTCTGTTGATCAGTATCAAGAGCTTCAATCTTGAATCATAAAAGTATATAAATAATTTTTTTTTATTAAAATTAAGGTTGATTTTTTGTGTAATTAAGAAAAAGATCTTAGATTTCGAACAACTTTATTGATATAAACATTTTTAATTTTACATTAATAATTGTACATAAATGATAAGTCTTCAGTAAGTAGTTAAAAGAATAGTATAATTTTTCTAAAATAAAATAATTATAGTTATTTAAGAAAACCATTTTGTAATTAGATATTACATATCTATTAAAATATTCTATTTAGAATAATCTCATTTAATATAATTAAAGATTTGAAATTCTCCAACAGTAAAATAAAATGGTCATTTCATGACAGTTCCAATTAGAAGTATGTAGATAGAATAATAGAATTACTCACAAGCTCTTTGACAGTAAAAGCATAATTCAATATAAAATGAAATAAAAAAAGGTCATTTAATGACTGATTAGAATTTCTAAATAGAAATATGAAGATAGAATAATAGAATCACTTACAAGTTCTTTGGCAATAAAAGTATAATCAAACTCAATTTCAAACAAAAATAGGTCATTTCATGACTGATCACAATTGCCAACAATAAATAGGTAGGATGCATATATGCTCATTAATCTATTACTCTTTATAATAGTATTTCTTTATCAATAAAATGATGCTTAAACTTTTATTCTTAAGGAACTAAGTAACAGTAACTCGATAGAAACGGATTGCCATTATTATGAGGATTTTCTCCTAATAGCTAATTCAATCCATTTTTTAATATTGTCTATACTTATATGTGCTTTCGAAGGTGATTTAGCTAAAAATTTGGCACAAGTGTTAGCTGAAGGTACTTTACCTGCATCAATATAATCAGAAAAACTTGAATATATAAATAATGGTACCCGATTTCTATCTGGTAAATCTTTGTTATTTTGTGACTTTTTACGTTGAGTATGAATCCAAGAACGCACTTGCGGCTCTGTCCTTAAACGTAAATGTTCGTCTGTGGTTTTCTTCAAAAAAGCTTTGATTGCCGCTGCTGAAGGTACTTTGTGCTGATTATTCAATGCGTTTGGGAAGTATTCCAGTAAAGCATTAATCGACGACTCACACCATCGTATATGTTTTCCAAATGGAACTGTATTTAAAAAGATTTTTGAGGATAATAATCAATATTTGATTGAATAAATATAATATTGTATAATTATGTTGTTCTTTCACAGTAGAACATACAAGGGTGCTTGCTGATGGTACCGTAACGTTTTATAGAAAGAGTAATTAAGCAACTGCAAGACAGAGGTACCGCATGAGAGGTTTGTATGCGATTCTGAATATCTGTATAATTTCTCTTTCTCTCGTATTTGCCGCAAGACTGTGGTACGTAGTGCTGATAATTTTCTCACCTGTTATTTTATACCTTACATGCAGAGACTCATGCAATTGTATAATATTTGGAACTTAAATGTTGCAGTAAACACGCATCTATGCTCTAGATAATAGTGGTACCGATATCGTATAACGGAATAAAAATCAACTCAGAATGTAGTAACGTATAAGCATCTTTTGAATTCAGATGTCAGCTGTAGACTCACGCTGTTATATCTGCTCGTACCTTATCAATCTCGTTGCCAAATTGCAAGAGCCCACCTGTATTTGCATATATAATTGAGCGCTTACGAAAAGCAGCCTCAAACAAGGGCGTACGAAACAATCTGTGGGATAATATCTATGTAAGTAAGCGTGAAAGGGTACAAATTGTAGTACAGATTATGTGAGTCTTTCACTGAAGCTATGTTTACTGCAACATTCAAATGTCGAGTGTTACACAATTGTACTACATGACTCTGTATGTAATGTAATAGAAATATAAAAAAAAATTACTAGCTCAATGTTATATGATTTTTCAACGGATATGAGATAGAAAAATAGCACACAAACACCTTACGTGGTTCCTATCAAAAATCGCTGTATACGTTCTACTGTGAATGAAATGTCAAATAGAGGATAAACTATTTTAATTATATACAAGTTGGATTTCTAGTGAAATTTTAAGAAAAAATCAATGTTTCTTTATTTCAGAAATATATTCTATATATATTTTATAACAATAAAAAACAAACTTTGACATGCACAAAAAATTTGTTTCCACACGAAATCGATTATAAGAAAAAAAATATATGTGATCCGAGTTGCCGAATTTCCTTCTCAAAAAAAATGACGCATCTATTTAACTTGCTTTAATTATTATTTGTTTTACTCTCATGTAATAAATTTCGTACTACTGAATAAATTGCTCCCTTTCTCCAAAAATTTCTTTTGTTATTACAATGTTTCTCCATATGCTAATATATTGATGCTATTGTACAAGGTCGCAGTAATGGGAATCGTTTAAACAAAACATTTTATTTAGAGAGCATTTTATAGAAAACCTAGTCATCGATAATACTTAAACTATTTTACATACTTATATTTATAAAAATTTTAGACTTTTTGAAGTATAAAATCTAAATGTATATCGAGAAAAATACTGCAATATGATCTATTTATATAATGTTTTTGATAATTAAATGTTTGATAATTAATGGTGAAGATAAAGAATTATCAAAATTGTTTATATTATTTAAAAAATTATATTGCATGAGTTTATAAAATGTATCATTCATTTTGAAAGGATGGTATCATCTATTGTATAATAAATATTAAACTTTGTTAATTAACTTATATGGAGAAGTAATTCATTTATTAAAAAGAGAAATGTAGGAGCAATTTGTTAAGCTTTTTTACGTCGATTTATATTAATTAATACAGAAACTGGACTTGAACAACAGATAGGTGTAATCACTGCATTAATTTCGAATAAATACATTGTGTATAAGTCTTTATTCGGATTCGATATTTTATAATGCAAAATAATTATCGATATGCCTAGGAACAGCAACTTCAATACGTAGCTACTATAGCTCTTGTTCATTTAACCAATTTTATCAGGTGTATTTTATCAGTTTGATGATAAATAATTAGTCTTTTTTATAGAATAGTTTTTTATAATAAAATATACCAACTATTTAAGAACCTACAATAATTTAAAATATTATTAATAAACTATGTTATTTCAAGTGTATTCACAAATACAAGTTCATTAATTACTATTGTCTGAGAGTAAAAATAATTTTAATAAAATTTTAATCACATAATATCCTAAACTTCCATTGAAAGTACAGTTTATTTTGTAATTAATAGTAGATGTGTTAAAATTTCAATATTGAATTAACTTTAAAAAGTATGAACTAACTTTGTCACTCTTGTAATTACTTGTATTGGAAGTTTGGTTTATTATGTAATTAAAATCTTATTGTAATCATTCGTAGTCTTAAAAATTCATTTATTAAATTATTGATAAATAACAAACTTGATTTGATATATTTCAAATTTATTGTAAGCTCTTTAACTTCATAAGCTGAATATTTGAATAACTTAATAAAAGTTTTTAACGTACTAAACTGTTGACCTATTTTATGTGAATGTCCATTGAGATATTTACATGAGTAAATTATGGCAGATTTTCTTATATATTTGGGCTCTTATGATTACATTAAATGTAAACTGTAAACAATGTCAATTACATGAAAATATAAAAAATTAGGAACTGCTCCTCTTTTATATTAAATAATTGCTATTTAGATTAAAAGAACTTCTCTTTAAAAAGACTTAAATTATTTATAATTAGGCTATACAGTGTTATCAGAAATTTGTCTGTATGACTAGAATAAAAATAACTTGCATATGCTATACGTATAGACTTATATATAGCAATTATATGTAATATTTTTGAATATTTTATTGAATTTGAGTTTGTTTTTCACATTTTATAAATAGTATGAAAATGCATGTTTAAGAAAAATTTTTATTTTGATATAACTATGTGCAATCAAATTTGATATTGCTAATAATAACATATTAACAAATTAATTAGATTTAATTTAATTTAATTAGTTAAAGTTAATTAAATTTGACCTAAAAATTCACCTTATCGATATTATTCTTATTAAGAAACCTGTGTATTACCTGAAGAAGAATTAAGACCTGAAACTCTGCTTTAATTCATGTTGATCTTGATTCTGTTGAGCTGATTCATCACAGGCTTCATCCAATAAATTTGATTCAGATAATGCCTCTGTCGACTGATTTTCTTTTTGCTGCTCAGGTTTGTCTTTGCCCATTGACTTACAAGACTGAACTGTATTAATACTATTTGCTACTTCTAAGTCTCGTTCTAAAACTGATTGTCTGTAGTTCTGGCAGTGAATTCCTTTAGTATGTCCCATGAATGCAGTGAGTTTCTCAAGCTGATGATTATCAATACCCTTTTTTAAACTCTCAGTAGCCATCTGCATTCGGTATCTTGTTCCTCTCAAAGTCTCTGGCTTCTCAGCCCCACATAAATCTGCAAATTTGGCCATCAAATTACAAGCTGATACAAATGAAAAGTTTTTCTTGCTCACATCTAAGATTGTGGCAAAAACAAAAGGATTATCTTTTAAAATTTGAGCTTTTGGTCTTAGTCGTATCAGACATTTTAAATAGTTGTATATCATCTTGTTGAAAACTATTGGTACAGGCTTTTTTCTCTTGCCACGAACTTCAATACGACATTTATCATCCTTGAAATCAATTTTACTGAAGTCATCTATTCGTAACATTTCAATTTCACCAGACCTTCTACAATTAGTTATGTGCAAGTAGGACACCAATGCATCCCTGAGATTTTCATAACTTTTATGTGAATATTCTTTATTTAAATTTTGATGTGCTGTGTTTATATAATTTTCTAAAAATTTCACCAAGTCTTTTTGATCAGGTAATTCTTTTTTATTATTTCTTTTATATTAGCCATAGTTTCAGCAATAGTGTTACCAATGGAACTGTGCCACATTTTTTTAAATTTATTTAAAAATGCTTGTACTTGTTTTCGTTTTACTTCTTGTTTTGTTCCTATCATTATCTCATATACAGAAGCTACATTATTAATAAGAAAAAACATGTTATGAGCCGAAGAAGGAGCAGTCATCAAACCTGTTATTGGGTCTGGTTTACCCATTGTTTTTATTGCTTCTATCACATCATCATAAAAATCTTCATGAAATGTGTCGCTTAATTCTTGTATATTGATATTTATTTCTTTAATAATATTTAAAAAGTTTCCTAGTTTACTTAGATTGGCTCGAATTTGCTTGTGGTGCTGTCTTGCTGTTTCAAATTTTTGAGCCTCAGCATTTAGCCAAAAAAAGACTGCATCATCATACCTGATTACATCAACTATATTAATATTGCGCATTTTTGATATTATTTCAATAGAATCTGCTTTAGCAATTGCATGATAATTGCCTTGTGTAGCTCTAGAACTGGATTTTATAACATGCTTTTTTATAAAACTTTGGCCAGTACATGTATGAACATGTTTATGAATTGAAGTTAAGGATAGCATCTTGAAACATTTGTAGCATGTTCCATAGTTTTTAATTGTATATCCAGAATTTTCACGGGGTCTTCGTGCAACTACTATTTCAGATACTTCTTGTGCATTTATGTTATTGAGGTGATTAGCTTTACTTGTGAGTAATTCAAGAATTTGTTTTCTTTTTTTTTGATCATCATTCAATGGTTGTCCTTTGACACGTGCAGTTCTGGCATACTTTTTTAGTTTTATGATCAAATCTTCATTTTTGTGTGCTTTTTCATAGTGATCGTTTAAATTTGCAAACTGAGATTTAATTTTGTTATTTTTTGTTTTAAGTTTCTTTTTTGTACAATAGTAACATGAGTACTTTTTTATTCCACTTTTGCTATCGAATAACAATTTATTTGAATCCTTCATAACTTTACCAACAGAGTTTAAATTTATTGTCAGCTCTAAGCTGCTATTTGCATGACTAGTATCAAGATCTAGATTTGATTTATCTTTTAATATAACAGATGTAGAATTATATTCAACATTATTATTGTTAAACTCTTCTGATAACTTTTTTCTCATTAGATTCTTCTGCTGTTCTATGTCATTGACTTCCACGTATAAGTCTTCAGTAACTGATTCACTTTCTGGATAATAAACTTTTTCATTTCTCTTTCTCTTTTTGATATTAATATTTTGGTATGATTTTGTTGATATAGAATCATTAGAACTAGATTCACTGCCAGATTGATCAATGTACTCTTCAAAGTCAGAATCAGAGTTCTCATCGCTAGAACTAGATTCATTTTCAGGTTGATACTCTGAGCCTGATGTAACATCTTCTAATTCAGAGCTATCATTGGAATAATTAAGTCTTCTAATATGATTAGGTTTAGATTGAGATCTGAAATTTTTCTTATTCATATTAGTTTGTGACTTTGACTCCATGTCAAGAGATTTTCCGTGTTCGTCACGAGTGTCTGAAATGGAAAAGTTGAATGAAAAATGAAAAGATAAAGGTGATATTTTTGCAAAAAAATAAGTCACCATTATCAAAACTACCTTTGAAATTTGATGAGGTTATCCAACGAGACATTTGTTTCATTCATGTAATGTCGTTAAAGCTTAAGCGAATGACACCAGACAATGCCACTTGATATAAAAAAACCGAAAAATTTCATATGGTTACTTTTTCTGAGAATAAGTCTGTTAGTTTTGACCATTTGTTAATTTTTGATTATTATATGTTAATGTTTAATTTGTTAATGTAGAATTATTTTTTATTTTTTACAGCGTTGATTTGCTAAGTTGATAAATTTTATTTATTATACAAAATTGATTATTTTATTATTTAATTATTCCAGTGAGCAACGAATCAACGTTGTGTAACATAAAAAGAACTATTCGCTGCGAACACGCCTACTCTCAGAAAATGTAACTAGAGTGAAGGCACTAGTAATTATGTGGTTACTTATCTTAAATTGAAAGGATTTGACACTTTATTGAGTCTTGAATTTTTTATTAATCAAAATCATAAAGTTGTATATAATATATTGGTGGTTGGGTATTATCGCAAAATTCGATCTAGCCTTATAAAATTATAATAAAAAGATGAAAGGAACGAAAACATAAACAAATAGCCGCTATTTCATCTACGTACTTTAATATTTCGCCACCTACCGGTACAAAACATAACTAAGACACAATTAGCTTAGGGTGTAAAGGTAGATCACCTATCTTCTTACACCGTGGCGATCAGTAAGATTTTTGTCTCATCTGTGTCGATATAATGTTAAGGGCCTTTCCATATCTCCCCCGGTCCAGCCTGTAAATTAATGCAAAAAAAGTATTTAGACATATAAACCCACAGTTTTTCAATTGCCCAATTCAACTGCGTTATTTATTTTATTTGACCACTTTCACTTTACTTACAAAAATTAATAATTATGTCCGGTATCACTGCAAACTTCAAGCATTAATATCTCGATAATTAAGTAATACTTTTTAATTCCTGAAAATGCAAAAAATTGCCCTTGAGATGATTTAATTTGCCTAGTTGATTGCAATGATAATTCATCAATTTTTCATGTGATAATTATTAAATAGCTATAGCATTTATATGATTCTCGTATTGCGCAGGCGCAATGAAATCAAGTCTGTATCATACCGGAAATATTTGACAACGCCGCTATTTTTCATATCATATTGAATGGTATTTTTTATAAGAGAAACCAATGTCTAAATATGTAGCTATTAAATTATAATTATTCTAATTCTATAAAATAAGAACATTAATTAACCTCATAAGTCACTGTCCAATGAAACTCTTCTGTAATAATTTTCAAATCAAATAAAATGACCTTTATTCTAGTGGAAAAAATAGTTAAAAATCGTATACATATAATAAAGAAAAATATTTTATGATTAGTTACGTTTTTTTATAGGTAATGATAGTGGCATTATCAAATCCGATGAGATACCCTTAATTTGACTGCGCATGCGCAATGCGCGAATCGTACACATACTTTAGATTTTCAATATTTTTCAAATGAAAAATTTATTAATTGTCATTGCAATCGATTGGGCAAATTAAATCAACTTAAGGGCAATTTTTTGCATTTTCAGAAATTAAGAAATATTACTTAATTATCGAGATATTGACGCTTGAAATTTGTAGTGATATATAATTATTAATTTTTGTAAGTAAAGTGAAAGTGGGCAAATTAAATAAATAACGCAGTTGAATTGGGCAATTAAAAAACTATGGGTTTACACGTCTCAATATTTTTTTTTGCATTAATTTGCAGGCTGTACGGGGGAGGTCCGTTCCATCGAGGTGATGTGACTGTGATGTGCTTATTTCCAATGTTTCAAGATTGTAAAAATCACACAGAACTATAGCAAATCGCATTACATCACAGTCACATTACCGCAGTGTAGAAAAGCCCTAATAATTAGTTAAATGAAAAAATTTTCAATTCTCGTATTAGGCAGCGCCTCGATCAAAGAATAATATAATTAGGACTGGATTAAAGTAGGTGCGCATATGTAGTATAGAGCTACTGCGCAGCACATTTGCGAAACTTCAATGTGATCTCTTGCAGTCCCTCTGTAAGTCTATGAAATAAGATATCCGTAATATCACTACGGACGCCCAACGAAAGCCGCGGATAGAAAAACTAATTTTACGTGAACGTATAATTTACGTTTTTGTTTGTTTGAAATTTATACAGTATTTTATAGCTTGTACAATACGGTTTTTTTATGCGTTTTATAATGTATATTTCCGCTGATTAAAATACACGTAGGGTATCGGTGGATGTCTGTTTTACCATTTGATGCTTAAAAACAGTTTTTTATGTTCTGGAAAATAATTGTATTTCATTCAAAACCTTCCAAGAAACAAAATCTCACTTTATAAGACGACATTAATAGCGGCAGTTTGGAAAGATTTTTTCTGCTTAATCTGACATTCGGATACAAAAGTTACCATAGATCACTTAAATAACCTTAAATAGTAATCACTTAATAGTAATCACTTAAATAGTAAAACAGATAATTTTCCATTAATATTCGGTTCACAATATATCTATCTATGTAGTAAAATGTCGTATCTATGAAAGTTAAAAAAATGCCCAAAGTGCCCAATTAGAATATATATATATATATATATATATATATATATATGGCCATGGTATATAACGCATAGGTATAACTAGTCGCAATTACAATGCTTAGTATCGGGGGCAGAGTAAGCCGTTCAATGGTTTACTATGGCCAAATAATATTATGAAAGTTACTTTAATATATATTCTTTAGGTTACTTTTGATTCCTGGTGGATGACTCGTAGTGCAGTGCCGCTCGGGGTTCAAAGGTACGAGGAAAGGTGGCCATCGTAACAATAACCATTCTTATACCCTTTGGTGCGCTTCAAACAGTGAGGCTTATCTTCATAGCTGCGGCTGTTACGTCTAGAGCGTAGGGATAGAAATTAAATAAGGTAAAGGACTTAGCTGTAGGTTTTCAGTGCAGGCAACGTGACCCGTAGTCCGGCGGTGATTGCATAAAGGGCAGTGGTGGAGCTCGGTGACTCCAATTGTATCCGTCGTTGCTCGTATTTGGCAGGAAACCGCGGCTGCTGCTTATCAGGACGGCTCCGAGGTTTGCTGTAGGCTGCTGTCACCACTCCTGGTTTGTTAGACTGAGCAGGAGTCCCAGTGGATGGTCCAGTTGTACGAAATAGTAAGGTGCACACGCGAATAAATGTGACACAAGTTAAAGTAGAACACACCTTTATTAGAATTTAGACTGAGTAAATATTACAAAGTATCGAGACGGTTTTAAACTACGCGTGTTCTCTGGTCGAGGAGTGGAGTACGACTGCTTGCCTTGAAGCGACGCTGCTATGAGCTGGAGATGTGGGCGGCCCCTCTTCCAGGATAACTTCGGAGTGGCCCAATGCGTGGGGTGACCTCTGTCTATCCGCTGATTGGTTGTAAGCGTCGTATGACATTGATAGGGCGTTGTCTGGCTGTGGTAGGGGCTCGTGACGTAGCGCTGACGTGCTTGCCCATGACGTGTTGTTTGTGAGGCATGGTTCAGGAACAGACTTGCGCTCTGCCTACAGTGATGTGGCAAACAAGGTGATTCACAATACAGTTACCGGATGTTGTTACAGTAATCAAAGGTGTTATCTAAACGTATAGAGAATGAGCATTATGCTCGGTATACTTATATCAAAGGAGTACATATGAAATCTTATACGTAGAAATATAGAAAATAGTCGCAATGCTAATAGGAGAACATAGGTGGTAAGGATCATAACCGCTTGCTATGGTACAGATTTTATATGTTATCGGCGTATAATTAGAGTATAAGAGTTACCAGGCAAACATAAGGTAGGGGAGCACAACCACGGTCGTGTTACACCTCCTTCATGATGCTGTATCGTGGATACCGTAGGTTAAGGGAAAATGTGGAACAGGAGAACATGAGGTTTAAGGAGCCTGCGACTGGTATTACTAGCTATATGTATGTGTATTATTATAATATAATATAATAGTGAATGTTAAACATAGAAAAATATAATATGGAATAGGAGAACATGATATAAGAAGAGCATGTCTATTTGTCGCAACGCATGATACATATATATATATATACATACATATAGATTGCGCAGCGATCGTGGTACTAAGTACTAGGAGAACATAATACAGGAAGAGCATGGCCGCGTGCCATGGTACATATCGCATAGGTATAACTAGTCGTAATTACAATGCTTAGTATTGGGGGCAGAGTAAGCGGTCATTCAACGGTTTACTATGGCCATATAATATTAAGTAAGTTACTTTAATAAATACTTTTTAGGTTACTTTTGATTGCTGGTGGATGACTCGTAGTGCAGTGCCACTCGCTGTTCATATAAGCATACCGAGCATGATGCTCCTTCTCTATACGTTTAGATCACACTTTTGTTCACTGTAGTAACATCCACTCCGGTAACTGTATGGTGAATCACCTTGTTTGCCACATCACTGTAGGCAGAGCACAAGTCTGTTCCTGAACCATGTCTCACAAACAACACGTTACCAAAGGATAAAACTGGTTTTTACAAAGATGAAGCGCATCAGAGGATATAACAATGGTTTTTACAAAGATGAAGAGCACCGAAGTTATGAAGATAAGCCTCACGAAATTTGAAGCACACCAAAGGACATAAAGATGGTTATAAAGCTGTTTTTTACGAAGATGAAGCGCATCAGAGGATATAACAATGGTTTTTACAAAGATGAAGAGCACCGAAGTTATGAAGATAAGCCTCACGAAATTTGAAGCACACCAAAGGACATAAAGATGGTTATAAAGCTGGTTTTTACGAAGTTGAAGCGTATCGAAGGATATAACAATGGATTTTACGAAGAAGTCAGCCGCAGTTATGAAGATA